GTCCGGCTTAAGAAATAAGTTGGCTACATAAATGCAACATATATTAATAGTTATTTATCTATTGTATATCTTATAACTGAGTGTGGATCTTGAATTTTTACATGAATATTAAACCTGATTCACATATATCTTGTTCGAATCTCGAGATGGTCTGTATACTAAATATGGCTTCAAGAGAACAATGAACAGACTGATCAGCGGATATGAATCTGATTTTAACAGATCATGACAATTATGTGTTTCAGCTATCAGTATAACTTTGAATTGAATTACTCTCTAAAATATTACCAAATATGATCTGCGAAACTTATATAATATATATATTACTCTGTCGATGTTGTTCGGAAAGAGCAGTTACATGAAGTGTAAAATTGCGGGCATGTTTGACAAATCTCGTGTTTTAATTATTTCTGTTCTAGAAGCTCTTTAATCACCGTAAAAATCTGGTGATATGTATGCACATTGCAGGAGTTCTGGTTTGATCTGTAGACTGTGACACTGTGACCCAGAAACTGATATTATACTAGAAGGCTGAAGCTATGTACAGGCTACAGTGACCACTGATCACTGATCAGTCTACGTTCTTCTTGATGGGAGCTGATACATAAGTAGACTGTAGATACATTGAACATTCTACTACTATATATGTAATATGTAATGATTGTTTCAAACTTCATAGGTGTCGTGTCATTTTAGTTAACAGAAGGTTCCAAATAATGTAGTTATACGCTAGGAATCAAATTAAAGGACGTTCGCTGCACCGGTACTTAAATATTTAGGTAGGTATGTCATGAGATCAGCTAATATTATTCACCAGTAGTTTCATATTGAGAGGTACGTACGTAGTCATAAATCAACAGTACCCATGAACGTGATTCCTGAACCTTAAAAGCCTTTTGGTCACTAGCTCTTGAATTAAACGACGTTCCTTGATGTCTGTGAACATTTTGGATCCAAAGTTTAATACGATATCGCTATAGCTTTAGACCAAATAATTTTATACAGCTAACAGTAATTGTACAGCAATACTTATAGATAATAGATATTTCATGTCTATAAGCACGATTATATACCATATAGTTAACTCTGTCTCTTAAGTATGATCAAATAAAAACTGCGTCATATGCTCTATGATTAAAATCAGTCAACGGTCTCAATCATTCTAAGGTATATACCTGTCGCATCCACACAAAAGTGCACTTCGTTCAACTTTCAAGCAGCAGCACCGGACAGCAGTGGACATGTTGGTCTTACCGGTTTTGCTGTTCAAGTAGGTAGTAAGTACTAATCAGTAAGCAGGCTGCAGGAGCAGCGCTACTTTTATATGCACACAATTTATACCAGGCTCCAGGCTCCAGCTAGCTGGTGCTCCGAAAAACACAGGCGGGAAGTTGGAACAGAGTCAACACTGAGCAGACCTCAAAGGACCAGGTTTGAAATTTTAATTATAAAATTATACCCTGGACTTCGCAAAACTTCTTCGTAAATGACTTGGAAGTTGTTGCATGATTCACTTGACCTTGAGTTGTAACTTGTAAGTGATCCCCTGTTCACAGCCGTATAATTAAATATGGTGAAAAATATATATACAGATATTGAATATGCTATTAACAACTAACTATATTTTTGACGCAGCTTATAGATTTTGTAATAGATCATGTGTAGCATTTTAATCTCGACTGTTGAAACTTGAAACCTATTGTCTTTTGGAAGATTTCAAACAGCTTTAAAAGTTAGTAGGTACAATACTACGCACTTATCAAACTAAAGTACAGATAATTTACTTGTACAGAATTCAGCTTGATTCTAAGATTTTAGAAACATTTCTGTCTTGGAAGAAACATCGAATCTTTAAATCTGTCAAAATTTGAGACAACAAATAGGTTCTCTTGTGTCAGATCGTTTTTAAATGTATGAGACACGAATCTATAACTTTCTTGCACTAATTTCTCAGGGAAAAGCTGTCTTAATATATATCTCTTCCTTTTTGTGAACGTTATCAAGTTTGAGCTAGCTTATTCGCTAAATTGTGACGCTTTTCATCACTTTATTCAGAAGCTTTTTATATTGATCTATGCTCAGGATACACGTCTAGTACTCTTGATAATAGCATTATAATTATAAGACTATCTATATTAGCCTAGTTCTTCGTTATATTATAAGACGTACGCCTGAATCACAACGTGGCTTAAAGCCCAGTTGGCAAGTCAGTTCGTAAACCTCAAGCAGCTTATATTCAGTTCTTATATATAATCAATTTGTGTATATATAATTATACTAATCCGACATGGTTTGGTACATTTTATTCGTGAATACTAGACTTACTGCAACTGATCAGCTTAATTAAACTTAATTAAACCTAATTGTCATATGGAATATACAGTAAGATTAACGAGATAATCAAGATGCGATTATAATCATGATTCATGAATATCTTGTTTGCCTTCGTAAATTAATATACCTATATATATGTGCTATTTAAAGTGAAATTTATTATATGTGAGGCGATTACTGAAGCACTCTACGTATATCATTAAATTTTTCTTGGTTGTAGCATATATATTCGATCTTCTACACATGGTTCAAAATGATACAATATAATTTGTTACGTTGTAGCTACGTATTACATTTCCCACTTAAAATTGCAACCTTCTGGGTTCAAAGATCACAATGTCAAACAACAATACATGACATTACCTATACAATGAAATTTGATATGTATTTCTCGATTCTGAATAGTTCTTTTGGGCCAATTTAAGTTTAACTTAAAGCCTGAAATTACATCAATCAATATTCAGTGATCGTAAAACAATATCAGGAGCTTAAGAGTCTCTTGCTGTTTTGGCTAAGCTTCGAGATTTGATACAATTAGTAGTTACACTGCGGATTTGAGCGGAGTCGTGAATTAGCACTTCGCGAATCGCGAGTATATATTAAGCCTATATGATTCAACTCAACATTAATTGAGACACTTTTTCATGCGAGAAATCAACAAATAAGAAGATTTTCAGAAATTCAACCAGACATTTCAAGAAAGCATAGTGAGAATCATGGAATGTAAGGGGAATAACTAGATCTTGTTTTAGACTCAGTACGTCTTAGACTCATGATCTGTTAAGTCTCGACTCTCCACGTCTCTACGACGTTGTCGAAAAAAGTTTTCAATTAACTATAGCGTAGAGCTGTTTGATCATACTGAATATTAATGCTTTTGCAGCTATTGGAAATTTTTCCTGCTTAAGGATCCATTTTATGCTAATTTAATTGGGTACTTACAATACTTTCTTTATCGTATTACAATTCACCATGGAGAAATTAGGAACTCTTGTATAGAGATCAGGGGGTACTTTATACTTAGTCATCTATTTAATATATAACACAATCGACAAGATTCTAATTGTAGGGTATAGCTAGAACTTTGGTAAGTGCTTCAATTAGACAGATCGATACAAGTATATCGGGGCAGTATTTAAACTAGCTAAAGCATATTATTAAGTTTTTGTAATCCTATATAATCGTGAAGTCTTGAAGTACTAGTATAATGATATTGAATAGAATACAATTGCATATTTATTTAGTACAACACTATATTAATCAGACAAGTGAACTAATATATTCAACTAGCATTAATTTAATATAGCTAAGGTGATCAATCCATCAGATCAGTTTAAAGTTTAAAAAGTTTAAAGCTCAATATATTGTAGCTTGATCCTACAACGTCTTCAAATCAGATGTATAACTGTTGTAAGCTAATATCTCAATCAGAACAACTTAATGGTTGAATATTTTACAATCAACTATAAATAGTATGCCTTTTAATAAGCTATGGTGATAACATAAATATTAGGATATATTATAGATTGGGATCTCGGGTGTATAAATGAATGGTATCCGGCTAATTGATTACTTAATCAATAATGCGTGCAAATACCAAACCCCGAAAAGGAAAATGTGGCTCTTTGCGAAATCATGGCAAATAAAGTTATAAAGTTGTAATTCTTGACAGCAAATTTAAATAGAAAAGGGATTTTATTGAAAAGACTGTTCCTGATATCATATATTATTACGATTGATTGATCAATTCTTAATCTCAATTGTCTTTTCAAGCATCAATATCAAATTTTATACACAATGGCTTTACAACCAAAATTTTACGCTTCCCATGCCACTCCACAAATTGATTTGTCAACTGTGTCAAATGGTATTCCACCAAATACAATTGAAGTTTATTTAGATTATGTTTGTCCATTTAGTGGTAAACTTTATAAGAATTGGTATGATAATCTTTTCCCATTATTAGAATCAAAATATAAAGGTAAAGTTCAATTTGTCTTTAGAAACTATGTTCAAGTTTGGCATCCAACTTCAAATTTAGTTCATGAAGCTTCTTTAGCTTTTGCTTCACTAGATCCTTCAAACTTTTTAAAATTTAGTTATATTTTATTTGAACATATTCAAGATTTTTATGATACTGAAACTGCTGATTTATCAAGAAATCAAATTTATGAAAAAGTTTATGATTTAGTTATTCAACCAAATTTTCCATCAATTGACAAGAAGAAATTTTTAGAATTATTACAAATTAAAAAATCTGATAAACCAAGCAATGGGGGTAATTCAACTCAAAATGATTTAAAATATTTTACTAAAGTTGGTAGAGGTAATGGTGTTCATGTTACCCCAACAGTATTGATCAATGGTTTCAAAGATGGTAGCTTTGAATCTTCAACTCCAATTGAAGAAGTTGAAAAGAAGATTCAAGCTTTGTTATGATTTGCTGAAGGGTTGATATAGATAGACTTTTGAAACTAAGTGTATATTATTTAAATCTCTGAGCTTTATTTCCGTATGTGCTGGGTCTCAAATATATCTTGATGTATAAGTCTACCAAAATACCAATTAAATTGATTCGGTTTAAACGTAAAAAGATATCTATTCTTAAACTCTGACAATTCCACAGCCAAATGGATCCATTGATAATTTCCTACTAGCCTTATAGTGCTATTTTGATAGTTTTTATTTATATTAATATGTCTGATATCTTTACTATATGTCACTAGTGACACTTGTTCCTGACAGATGTAGTTTTTTGGCCTGTCTAAATTTACAAAAATGTGAGGTATAATGTTACTTGCGTCAAAAACATGTCACAATAGTCCCATAACAAAGAACATATTCCTTCAAAGACAAACACATTCACAATAATATGAGTCAGAGAGAACGCATAGTGATACCCACAAAGCCACTTTCGGCACCTATTCAATCACCTTTAACGGCAACTACAAAAGAGAAACGTATACCAAGTCAACTTTATCATTTATCATCAAAAGATTCAACAAATACATCACCACCATCGTCCTCTGCATCTGGTATAAATAACCATCAAAAGGATATACCCAAACATAGAAGATTACCAGAGATTAATACAGCAAGATTATCTAATGTTCCAAGCTTTAAAATAACACCAGTTGGTGATTCTTATAGACATATTAAAAGTGCTTCTCATGATGAAAAATCAAATGATAAAAAAAGATTAGTTGATCAATTTTATGATCAATATGGAACACCACCACCAAGTGCCCCAGGTACAAGAACTCAAACTCCAAGTCTGACAAGAAATAATACAAGTACAAGTATTCCAAGTTATAATCAATCAAGAACTAATTTAGCTGTATTAAATAAATATGAATATGAACCAAAAAATTTGAATCATGGAGATGGACCAACTAGTAAGATTGGTGAAATGATTAATGAAATAGAACAAGTTATTGTTAAGAAAGTTAAAGAACAAGTTGAAGTTAATGAAGAAGAATTTTCAAATAAAATTGATGATTTCCAATATATAATTAATGAAATTAAAATTGTTAAAGATCGTATAAATTTAATCATTCATGAAATTCAAAATGAAAAATTAAATCAATTTAATGATAATTTCCAATCATTTCAAACAGATATTGAAAAATTTATGAATTTTTTAATAATTTTAGAAAATTATGAAGAAAAATTATTCAAATCAAGAGATCGTATGAATTTATATAAAAGAAAATTATTAGATATAAGGAAAACTATTGAATTAGGTGAAAAATTAAAAATAATGGAATATGAAAAATCAGAAAATAGAACCAAGTGGATAATAGCTGCCGGATTTTTTGGTTTAATTTTATTAGTTTATATGAAGTTGTTCAAATCATGAGATCAAACATAAACCTTTCCCTGGTGTCTATGATTATTCGTTTATTATAATGAATTGATCATATTTAGTTACTATCATTAATGAATGCATATGAATAAAAAGACCATGTTCAAATCACAATTGTTTGAAAAGACACATGCACTTAGGTCAGTCATTATAAGTTAACAATATAGTAGCCAAATTTCAATATGCGCCGCTAATATAATTGTTGGTTCATGTTCATTGATCACGATTCACTAGCTGTCATAGGCTCTCATAGCTAAGCTAAGCTAACCCACTAGCATCAATGAACTCCAGCTTGCCCAAAACTGCTCTGTCGTAATATAATAATTCATCGTATAAATAAACATTATGTCGTTAATCTTTATGATCTAATATATGTTCCTTACGAGAAACGGTACAAAGTAAACTCTGTATATAAGAGCTACACCAATCTTTTGAAGTGAATTTGATAGAAAATATAGATTTACAAAGGATATATATAAACCAAAATATGAAACTTTCTGATTCGTCATAAGAAATGATCAAGGTCTAATTTAAACATGTCTAAGAATAATTCTATGGTGCATGATCTTTCATGTTGATTCAAATCTCAATCTATCATGTCGACTTTAAGACTGCAAAAAACATTCATGGTGGATCTATCTTATAATTTTAGCATGACTTTTTAGCATTGTCTAAAACATATCAAGATGGTATACAACTTTATGGACATTAGACAAGTATACTATGTCTAAAGATGTGTATGATGTTAGGTATCTTTGAGACGTTTGTGTAACTTCTGATTATAGACAAGGACAAATAATCGCGATTTTTAGACAAATCTTTAAAGAAGTTATATCAAAAGTACGTTTAATCTTTAGCAAGAACTATTGGAAACAAACTTATCTAAATAACGATGGCTCCAATGTAAGAATATTGATATATTAATAGTGATCAAACTTCATGTACTAACAACTTTCATTAGAACAACATTTGTCAAGATATCTTCTAAAAAATCAATACCAATTAGAATATTCATAAATAGGAAATCTATAATAAAACAATCAACATTATTTGAAGCTGCAATATCATCAGCAAATACAACAAATCATAGAGCATTAGTAAGGCTGAAAACTACACAAAGGTTATTGATATCGAATAAACAATTAAGAGAATTCATACAAGTTATTAAAGATGAATTAATTAAAATTTTATTTGAATTATCAATAGAAAATCTTTTAATGATTAATAGTTCCATAGGGAATGGATCAAAAGAAAATTTAAAAATAAAAGTTGAAATTGAAGGTTGGAGTTGTAATGTTATGATTACTGTTAAAAGAATAATGTCATTAAGAGAAGGAAATCTTAATTTTAATGGAACTGAATTATTAATAAGACAACCAAAGAAGCAATCAAAATCAAAGACTCCAGATAATCAAGGAACAGAAGAACAAATTCCTGGATTATTAATTGAAGAAGATGAAGATGGTCTCATGAGTATACCTAAAGAAGGTGAAATTGTTGAACCATTAGCTACAAATAATGAAAGTGAACATGATGAAGATAAGAAACAAAATTTAAAATATGATTATAAACAATGTGGAGTAATGGGTAAAGGTATAAATATTGAATTATTACAAATCCCAAGGAGGATTTAATAATACTACAAGTTTTAATTCAGAATTAAAAACACATAGATTACATAAATTGATTAATCAATTTTAATCAATTTTTTTTAATTTTCAATATATAATGTCACTTTTAAGAGTTTTAAAAAAAATATGAAAAGTACTATAGCTGTAAAATCACTAAAACGAATGTTTAAAAACAAAAGAAAAATAGGAGAAGACTTTATAAATGACTAAAAGAAATATATTTGGAAATGAATAAAAAACACTAGAACAAATTAACGTAAAAATAAACTAAAATGTCAATGCTTAAGCAGCAACTGGTTGACGTTGTTCTTCATCAGCCCATTCTTGTTCAGTTTCAGCTAAATGTTGTTCTTCACCTTCTAAATCTTCTTCTTCATCATCATAAATTTCATCACCTCTTCTAATACTTAAAGTTGGTTTAACAGCAGCATGTTCTAAAGTCCAAGAAGCTAAAGCATTTTCAGCATCAATAATAATTTGTTTTGAAGCTTCATAACCATCATAAGCAGGTCTAGTTTCACCTGGAGTAACTGGAGCATCATCTAATAATTCTAATAAAGCTTTACCATAACCAGCAATTAAAGCTAATTTTTCAGAATGTTCTCTTAAAGAATCAAAATTATAAGCAAATGCAACTTTTAATTTTTCTCTTGTAATGTTTGATAATTGAGCTTCAGCAACTAAAGATTCAGCTTCAGCACGAACTAATTCTTGTTCTAAAACAACAATTTTTGGAGATTGAGGATCTTTATATTTTAAATAAGCAATTTTATCAGTAATAGCTTGTTTACGATCTCTTGAAGGTTGAACAGAACCTTCGATATCTCTAATAGATTTAATAGTTAATCTATATTGATCATAACGATCAATAAATTGATCTTCTAATTCACCAATTTCATAAATTAAAACACCTAATTTATCAGTAATATCAGAAACATCATCATCATTATCTTCACCCCAAATTGATAATTGTTTAGCAACTTCACGACGTTCATTAGCAACAACTTCAATACCTCTCAAGACATTTTTTTCAATTTTAACTAATTGAGATAATTTTCTTGATAATTCAGGACCAAATTGACCAGCAGTTTGACGTCTTAATGAAGAAACAATACCACCTTTACCGAAAAAACGACCAGATTTAGTGGTTGAAGTTGGAGGAGGAGGAGAAGCTAATTGAGAAGCAGTTGGAGCTCTTGAGTTTCTTAAAGAATAAGTTCTATGCATTGTGTATAATCAATTATAATTGAGTATAATTGAATTGAATTGAAAAGGAATAGTGTTTTTCAAGGGGGGCAAAACTCGAGAAATTTAAAGGATTTTATAATCATCAGTGATTTAATTTAGAAATTGTGGAAGGGGCAACGCATGAAATTTCACGTAATTCATTTAAGAACCCACAGATTTTAAATTAAAAGAGGTTCATTAGGTTGCCAAAAAGAGTTTTAGATTGTTTCATTTCAGGTAATTAATAGTTTCTATAAATAGACAGAGATATGTATTAGATCAATTGATTAGTTGTTCAATTGTTCAAGTGTTTAATGGTTTAGTAGTTGTTCAATGGTTCAATTATACCCCCTATCATTCAAGTTTCATCCATCGTTTCACTTGCTTCACCCGACAAAAACCCACGATCTTACTGCCCATGGTTCTGTCTGGCTCTGCCTAAGACAGTGGGACCGCCCTGTGCGTGGCCCTGCCGGTGAGCACTGGTGAGCTTCCCGAAAGCGTGTTTACTGGTTTCCTAAAACGGTAAGAGTGTTCGCTGCGCACACTTTAAAAAGGCTAATTACATTTCCTAATTGGGAGCAATTGAATATTTATTATTATATAATCACTTGGTGGTCCACTGACTAATCCAGCGGTTATTTCATTCACTCAGTGTAGCGGTTCTTGAATTTATTTCCAATCATTGTTTAGTAGGATCTGTTAAAAGGCAAGAATCATCATTGTGAAGAACCGTGGAATAGTCAACATGGTAATCATATTCACTGTTCTCAGTGAGTGTGATTGTGTGTGATACTGATTGTGTTATTGATTATGATTGTAGTTTGTAGTAGTTGCTGGTAAAAAGTCAAGTGAAATTTTTTAAATTGTTTGATGTTTGATGGGTAATTGAGCAGGGTAAAAGATGATGTGATGATGATGATATTTATATTGATTAGGGTTGTGATGTTGTGATCAATTCAATATCATCACCATCATCATCACTAACATTGCTAATACTATAGTACTATTGACATGGTTTAATCAGTCTTGACGTATAAGCTAAGATTCCAAGTCATCCATCGATTCGTAAAGTATAGATCTACCAAGAGCAATATCGAAACACTAAATCATTAAACACTTATTTTAGTGAATGATCAAGTACATTACATCATAAGAGTAAATGAGTTTGTGATAAGTAAATGATCTAATTTACTAATAATGATTTAATAGTCATACAAATATTGTTTTATTGTTTCATGAGTATCAGTGTACCAAGTGATCATAGGCTGAGTCTATATAGTACTAAGCTACATGATCTGATTTTAACCATTGAACGTTATTAATGGTACTAATAAACCAATCATATTCCATATCTTTAGATTATATTAATATTATGATATAGTGATTCTCTATTATCTATTATCAATTAACATCTATCATCTATCATTAATATCTATTATTCAAAAGTCTTCACTCTTCCACTGATTATCAGCATTTCACCTGTCAATCGCGTTTCAAGGTACACTTTAAACAACCGGTTACCGCATATATCACCAATAAACTCACTAAACATAAGGGAAAACATGGAAAATAATCACACAAAATACACAAATAACAATAGATATACTTCTATTTACAATATCAACAAATAAAACCCATTATTCTGTTATAATTTATATAGTTACGTTATATTTTGAAATACCATTGCTTACCTCAGCCCTGACTAAGCCTGCCAGTCAACAAGTTTCCTTTTCATGAGAAATATCGAAATTGAAACAACAAAACAACAACAAAACAACAAAATAAACAACAACAATTTTAATTCAAATTCAATCAACAAAACAAATTCAATTTAATCAACAATATCATCATTACCTTGCAAATAATCATCAAAGACAAGCACCGTCAATAGCATATACATATATCACATCTTTTTTTTTATATTATACTCTCCTATTTTTGGAATCAAATATCCTTATCATATATTGAATATATTGAATAAACTTGAAATTAAAATTTGATATTTCCAATATAATATAAATCAATTCACAAATATCATTTCATATACATCATAGAAATCTTAAAACAAGTCATTAATATATAAAGTTTATTTTATTTCTTCAAAAATACGTTCAAGATGATGAAAGGTTTCAAGCAAAGGCTTTCACGGAAAGGTTCATTATCATCTAAAAAGAAAGATAAAAATGATGAAAAAGATTCTTCTTCTTCATCGTCACAAAAAGATGGTAAAAAATCTTCAATTTCAAATTTAAAAATTTCTTCAAATAATTCTTCAAATTCTTCTTTATCAAGTTCTGGTACTGGTCAAGCAAGTCCTTCACCAAAAGATTCTTCAATTTCAAATTTATCAACTTCTCCAAATAAAAAATCAAATTCTCCATTTTCTTCTTCATCATCATCAGCTCCAAAAAAGGATAAAAAGGATAAATCAAGTTCCAAAAATTCAAATTCAAATTCAAATTCAAATTCAAATCCTTCTACACCAACTCAACAAGAATTCCCAAAACAATTTCCATCATCATCATCTCCAAATCAATCAAATATCCAAAATCAATCTTTAAATTTACCAAATATAAACGTTACACCTCCACAATCTCAACATCCACATTTTGATCATGCTTCAATTCAATCACAACAACAACAATTCCAACAACAACATCAAGTTCAGCAACAACAAGCCCAGGCCCAAGCTCAAGCTCAACAACAACAACAACAAGCACAACAGGAACAACAACAACAAGGTCAACACTCTCCACAAGGTGTTCCTGGTGGTTCAGAAACTATAATACCAAGATCTTCACATTCTTTTGAAAGATTACCAACTCCAACAAAAATTGAACCTGATTTAGATGGATTAATTAAAACTCCTCAACGTCATCATAGTTCAAGATTTGAACCAAGTTCATATTCTGAATTAACAAAATTACCAAATTTTGATGAAATCCCACCAGAAAAAAGATTAGATTTATTTTTAATGAAAGTTGATCAATGTAATGTATTATTTGATTTTAATGATCCAAGTTTTGATATTAGAGGTAAAGAAATTAAAAGAATTACATTACAAGAATTAATTGAATTCATTTCAACAAATCGTTTCACTTATACTGATGAAATGTATCAACATGTTGTGGAAATGTTTAAAAAAAATTTATTTAGACCAATTCCTCCACCGGTTAATCCAATTGGTGATATTTATGATCCTGATGAAGATGAACCTATAAATGAAATTGCTTGGCCTCATATGCAAGTTGTTTATGAATTTTTCCTTAGATTTGTGGAATCTCCTGATTTTAATCATACTTTAGCTAAACAATATATTGATCATGAATTTGTTTTAAAATTATTAGAATTATTTGATTCTGAGGATCCAAGAGAACGTGATTGTTTAAAAACTACATTACATCGAATTTATGGGAAATTTTTAAGTTTAAGATCTTTTATTAGAAGATCTATAAATAATGTTTTTTTAACTTTTGTTTATGAAACTGAAAGATTTAATGGTATTGCTGAATTATTAGAAATCTTGGGTTCAATTATTAATGGATTTGCATTACCTTTAAAAGAGGAACATAAAGTGTTTTTAGTTAAAGTTTTATTACCTTTACATAAAGTTAAATCATTATCTTTATATCATCCACAATTAGCTTATTGTGTTGTTCAATTTTTAGAAAAAGATCCATTATTAACCGAGGAAGTTATAATGAAATTATTAAGATTTTGGCCAAAAATTAATTCAACAAAGGAAATTATGTTTTTAAATGAAATTGAAGATATTTTTGAAGTTATTGAACCTTTAGAATTTATTAAAATTGAAGTTCCATTATTTGTTCAATTATCAAAATGTATTTCATCACCACATTTTCAAGTTTCTGAAAAAATTTTATGTTATTTTAATAATGAATATTTTTTAAATTTAGTTACAGAAAATGCTGAAGTTATATTACCAATAATTTTTTCATCATTATATGAAATTAGTGCACAACAAGTTCCAGAAGATGATGAAATTTTATCTTCAGGTTCATGGAATAGAACTATTCATTCTTTAGCTTATTCTGCTTTGAAAATTTTTATGGAATCAAATCCAATCCTGTATGATCATTGTACAGTTTTATATAGACAAAGTTTACAAGATTCTCAAAAAAGAGAAGAAGAAAGAAGAAAAGGTTGGGAAACTTTACAAAAATTAGTTCAAAATCAAAATCAATTAAGTACTTGAGAAAATCTTTTCCTCTCATTCAAAGTTTTTTTTTTATGATACCAAAAAGAAAAAGTTCAATTATCAAGTATTTGTGATTTTGTGTTTTTTAGTGTTTTTAATTAAATACTTTTTATGTTATTGTTATTATGTGTTGTGTGTTTTTATTTTTGGTTTATGTTTGTTTTTTTAAAGAAATTTTTTGCTGCATCAAGAAAATGAATTTTTAAAACTTATACATGTTTATATATGAATCTTACCCCTTATTTTTGATCTTGATATGATCTAAGATTAACTTTATACTATATGTATATGATGTTTATTTTTGAAGTATATATAGAATTAACAGGACTATTATTTTTTGCCAAAAATAGTTGAATGTATGTATACTAGATTTATATAAGATTATAAAACAAAGGTAGATACTACATATAAAGATTAAAATATTTTGATTTAATGACCATTATAACTATACAAGTCTTTTTATTTAACTTGCTTTATATTCTCTTAAAATAACTGGAACAGAACTTGGTGGTAATGCACCAACTTCAGTAATAACTTTTTGAATATAATCTGGTGGAGTTGCATCATACATTATATTTAAAATATTTAAATGAGGAGATTTTTGATAATTTTGTAAAGGAAATTCATCTTTTTCATTTGTTGTTTCCTTTTCTTTATCATTTGATTGATTTTTTTTAGATTTTTGTTGTTGTTGTTGTGATTGTTTTTCTTCAGTTTCATTATATGAATTTATGAAATTTTTCATTGCAACACTTGATTTTTTTGTGTGATTTAATTTATAACAATCAACTAAATCTTCATTATCACCTAATTCATTGAGTGTAACACTATCTAATTGAACACGATCTGAAAATTTGATAGATTCACAACATACTAAAACTGGAATATTTCTCTTTTTAGCAGTCATTGCAATTAATGCAGCACCAACTCTTGAATATAAAAATCCATTTGATAACATTGCATGAGCACCAAGGAAAACTGTATCAACATCTTGGAAAATTGAAGTTATTGAATTAATTAAAGCATATTGAACTTTTAATCCATTTGATGTTAATTCTTTTGCTAATTTTTTACCTTCAAATAATGGTCTTGAATCTACTATTATAACTTGAAATTGTTTTTTCAAAACTTTTGAATTATGTAAAAATAATTCTTTCAAAACATTAGAATTACCAAATGTTAAAATTTTTGATCCATTAACAATATGATTTGATGCTTGTTCAATAATTAATTTATCAGATAATTCAATTTTTTCTTTTAAGAAAGTATCAATTTTTTCAATTAAATCTTCTTTAGCATCATTATCTGATGTATCAATTGAAATTAATGAAATTTCTTGTTTTAACCATCTAATTGCATTACCCATAGTAACAGATAATAATCTAGCAGTTTTCAAATAATCAATTTGATAACCTAAATAACTAGTTAAATTTCTTGTAAGTGTTGTACCTTCTGGTGTTTGATATTCAGAAATAACAGTTTGGAAAGCTTTCAACATGGCAATACATCTTGGAATAGAACCAACAATTGAATATGAAGCATATTTTGAAGTTAATGTTAAAATTGCAGGATGAACATAATGTAAAACTTGAGCTTGAGATGAACTTAATGCATTTCTTTCTTCTTTTGTTTCTAAATGGCTGAAAAGAGGAACTTTGTTTACAATTTTAGGTTCTTTTTTAACACCAACATTACCATTTGATTGATTACCTTGTTGTTGTTGATTTTTTTGTTGTTTAGCTTTACTTTGTTCAGTTTGATTAGGTATACCTTGACTTTCTTTCTTTGCAGCTCTTTTTTCTAATTTTTCCTTCTTCTTCAATTCTTTCAACTCTTTGTTTGTAAGTTTCTTTTCTCCTGATGCAGATGTATCTTGAGTTTTTGATGAAGCATCTTTAGATTGTGGTTTTGATTTATTTGAATTCTGAGCCTTAGGTTGACTTTGAGGTTGTGTTTGTTCTGGTTGAGATTGAGATTGAGACTGAGGTTGGGTTTGAGCAGTAGTGGCGTCTTCTGGGGCCCTTATGGGTTGTGCTTCTTCAGACATTTTGAGATCTGATAAATCGACGTAGTTGATCTGATTCTTTTCTTAGACGTTAATATATTTTGATGTCAATTCATAATTTTTACCTTACTCATCTAATTTTTTTTTCTTCGTGTAATTTTGGTGCGAAAATGGTTCCTCTTTAACAAATTGTAGTAATGATAATGCAAACTTCTCTATTATCTGATTCAATGTGTTTGGTAGCTTCTTATAGCTAGGAAAAAATACTATGTGATAAGAATCAAGCATTTCCTCTCTTTTTAACGGTTTAAAATGATTATTATTCAAAGATTTAAAGAATTTAAAAGCTTAGTCATGTGACCTCTTTCGCGAAAATGTTACAAGTATATAAACATTTTTACATATATGAATTGAAGTTTATCATGTCTTTTTGAATAATCACAATCTTTACGATTATATATCATAATGAGTATGTAGTCCTATCTATTTACTACAATTCTTTCTCATATTTTCAAGCTTTTTGTATTAGTCATGAGTATATATACAGGACTTATTAGAATAATCAATTTCTATAAAGATTCAATCTAATGGAATTATATTATATTTATGCATCTTTTGGAGCTTCTGTTTCAGCTTCTGTTGATTCTGTTGGTTCAACTTTTGTTTCATTCTTAGCACTGTAGAATTTAGATTTTGCTTTGATTTCTTCAAATCTATTAGTTTTATTCAAAGTTTCAGTTAAATTTTCATATTTTTCAACAAATGAAACAATTTTTTTAAAATTATTAAAGTTTTTGAAAATTTTATGATTAATTAATTCAGTTGCAATTGGTTTTAAAGTAACATATAATTGATCAGCTTCGTGGTGTAAATTTGCTTGATGACCAATTGATTTAGTGAAAACATCTAATGGTAAATCAATTTCTTCCTTGTTAAGTCTTCCGAATATTTCACTTGTAGTACGTGTTTTCCCATGTTTGACCATAATTGCAGTGGTTAAATAATCTGTTATTAAATCACGTTCTGTTGTTTGTTTAGTAATTTTGGAAATTCTATCAGTGACATTTGTATAACCTTTGAATGGATTTAAATATAGGAAAGTTAAAAACATATTCAAATTTTCAGCTTTTGGTACATTTTCTAATTTTGGATGAGAGAATAACCATTGATAACAAGTTCCTACGTTACCAAATTCTGCATTTTTAATAGCTAATTCATTTAAAACATATGGGGTAACTGAAAGTGGGTTCTTTCTCAATAAAGAGATTAAATCATGGGAAATTTCGTTTAATTCTTCTTGAGTTTCAGTATGTCTGATGACAGCTGCAATTTGGTTTGAAGATGGAGCACCTGGTGCAGTGGATGGTCTAGCTCTTTTATTTGTGAGTGGATCTATAAGATCTCTTGATAATAATTCTTGGGAATGTCTTGGTCTGTACATTAACAATCTTAATCTTCTTGAAGTTTTAAGATATCTGACATAAGAATCATAATGTTCTTTACTCTTGGTAACATATTCAGATGGCGTTATTGGTTCTGTTGCTGATGGTGGTTGAGTTGATGCTGAAGATGTTGATGTTGATATTTCTTGTAAGAGACATCTTGAAGTAGAAATCCCTCTGGTGAAACGTAACATTGTGAGATATTCTATCGAAGACTAATGACCGTGTTGACTTAGTTTTTAAGGTCCTAAGTTCCCACAAATGTATAGATTTAGCTCTTCAAACTTGATCAATACTCTACTCTTCTTCATACAAATTCGAATTTTTTTCAATGATCTCGTTGAATTTTCTAATAATTCGCGAAAATAAATTAATTTTGTTAGTGCTGAGGTTTACAATGAAAAATAATACTTAAAAATATACTGCTGTGTAATTATCAGCACTTGTTTTCAAGTAATAAAAAAATCAAAATACCGTTAGTTTATATAGAATATCTATGATATCAAAGTATTACATTCAATCAAACTACGGATCTTGAAAGATGAATTATGAACCGCTAGACTCACTACCATGTATGTGCTATATTTCATCCCTAATCATGGGCTCATCTTACTAACAATCGTTCCTTTAGATATTGATCAAGATATTACAGATCAAGAAAGACAATCAGTAGAGAGACTAATATTAGATGAACTTAAATCAACCGATATATCTAAAATACATTCAAAAGTTGATGAACTTTATCCATTACCGGAACCAAGCTCTATAGTTTCGAATATCAAGGAAGAACAATTCTCAGATCCTGATTTTACATTGGGCGGTATTGATTTATCAAAATATTCAAATTTAGATGATTTAGAATCATTACAAAATTCAATTGTATTCACAGATCTTAGAAATAAATCATTAAAATTAGCAAATAAATTTGGTAAAAATCAATGGTTATTAGGTAATGATTTGCATCAATATTCAAATGAACAAATTTCTGAAGAATTACAAAATAAAAGAAGAAAAATCAATGATATAAATTATGAAAGAAAACAAATTCAATTAGAGGCTAAACCTGTTATTGACTACTTAGAACAAAGATGGCAGCAAGGTATTAAAAGTAATGTTGATATAGGTGTCGAAGTTATCAAATTGCAATTGGAAGAATGAATAGCTTCATCATCATAATAATGAAGTACCAGCGGCAAAATGATCATAAATACTTTGAGATTCATTTTCGACATCAATAATTGGAACCTTTTCACGCAAGGCATCCAATATTGTCCCCAAATCTTCCAATTCGGTTTGTTTTGATGATTGATAAAGTGGTTCAAGTTTAAACCTGGTTTTATATTTCCCATCTTCCACTGAAATTTTCCCAGAAAATTGAAGAATATCTCTATATTTAACAATTCTTTCTATGGCTCTAGGTTCTGGAATAACAATTGATGTTTTCTTCTTCCTTAATGACCATGATTTATCATTCTTATTTAAATCATTGTTTGAATTTGTTGATTGATGTTGATTGAAAGTCATTTGATCACTATAAGTTACATCTAATTTTAAGAATTTTTGAAGTTGTTCATCAGTTAAATAATCTTCAATATTAACAGTTATACCATTTTCAATATCCATTAAAATTTCTTCCATTTCATGAGCACGTTCTCTTAATTTTGAAGGATCATTATAATTCAAAAAATCATCACCAATATCACTTTCTCTATATTTTTGAATTCTTTTATAACCTTTATAAGCAAGACGAGCTTTTGCCCTGGCTATATCTTTTGATGTTGCATACATCCACATCCATAGAATTGCTTCGGCTTCTCTGGTCCATTGTTGAGGTAAAAGCTCCCAGAAACCTTGCCAATGTTGGATTGAGAATTCAGCATCATTGGGTATGTTGGTAAAATTGGATGTTGTTGGTAATGTTGCGTTCACAGCTACTGTATTGTTTATATACATTTTGCTTAGTATTTAATATTGATATTTTGTTATAAAGACTAGTATATATTCAGAAGGAATAAGATGAGTTTGAAATTATTTTGAAGCTTTAGTCATTTATATATATTTTTTTTTTGAATGTTCTCTATTTAAAACGCATGAGGTCTTTTCATGAAGTGTTTGTATATACGTTTGAATAAAATTCTCAACCATGAGACGTACCTTAATATTGTTGAGAATCTCTAGTTTTAATAAGTTCAGTCAAAACCTTTTCGCTACATTCTCGTACAGTCAAACTAGCGTTATATCAAAGATTTAATTATCAAAAGTTCTTCGTTATTTTATTCACTTATAGAGCTACGCTACTACATATGTCAATCTAGCTTAAAACGTTAAGATTCGCGATGTATTCCGTAGTATAAAAAATTTAAAAGCACGGAAAATTAAAGAACAAATTCGCGCGCACGGGCATTTTCTGTAGGCACTAGGCACTAGATTGAATTACTGATTACCACCAGTGTGGTTAACTTACTGGACTCTGTAGACGGGAAGCTCTGTGAATCTCACTTTGTAATGGTGATAAACCCTTCCAGGATGTTTGACAGCCATCTTCTGTAGGCTTTGTAGAACACATGGCTTTAAAGCTTACATGATTCAGCAGTGTTTTGACTCCACAAAGAGTATCAAAAGAAAGAAAGTGACATATTCAAGCACGTTTCTGACATAATAAAAACACGAGTACAACGGTTTTCTGTGTTTTGTTTTGCTGAATTCAAGTGTATAGTATAAATACATAAGCACAGAAAGTTCTGAATCAACAAACACTTCTTAAGAAGGTTCAGAACTAAAGTATTACAGGCTTATCTTTCACTATCTATTTCGTTTTGTGGTTGTGAGATTTAGTGAAAGCCCGCGAATTCTGACAGCCGCTAGCAAATTTTCAATCTGATAACTGTGAGATTTTAATTTTGATTTTGATTTTGATTTTGACACTGAAAGACCTTCATCATCAACAACGTTTATACAAGAAAAACCTTCCCCCAACTCATTTCACCTTCTTGAAATCATTGCTCAAGAGTCAATTTGGCAATCACTGGCTCTGTTACTGTTTTTACAATCACTCACTAAAGGATATTTCTCCCATTCTAATCTTTTGTGCTTTCAAGACTGTGAAAAGTGACTAAAAGTTATTTATACATCACAACAACAAACTCGTCAGTTTTGAGAGAATCTGATTTCCTTTCAATAACAACTTCCTACATTCACCAAGGAGATACATAAGGAGTGGTATTACATTACTTCTATTCTTACTTTTTTATTCTCTTCAAATCCATGAGACATTCTTACATAGAAGTTAAAGCTCCAGTATCGGGAGGTGAATATCAACAACAAATACATTTACATTGAAATTAAAGTGAAAAAAAAACAAGAGAAACAATAAATCATTATACAACATACATCAAATGGATTCCAAGAATACAGGAATTTCCAAAAGCAGCAACGGCAGCACTAACAAGAGTTCGGCGGCTTCATCTTTAGAATCCAACAAATCTAATGAATCATCAAATACTAGTTCCTCAGGTGCTCCAAACCTTACTGGTAGAAAAGCTGCTCACTCTTTAAGGTTATTCAGGCATGATAATAGTAGTGGATCAAACATTCAATCTGGTGAAGCAAATAAACAGCAAGATTTGATCAAATCCCCTTATAAAACTCCAAATTTATTCCCTACAACACCATCATCATCCAAAACTCATAGAGCTAGCATATCAGTATCAAAACTGGGAAAAGATCTGAAATCATTGAAACCGTTCAGTGGCAAAAACACTGATTCATTGGATTCCCCATTTGATGAAAGTCATGAATCTAAACATCTACAGCAACATTTAAATACATCACAAAGACCTCCACAAAGACAACGGCAAGCATCTTTAATTTTACCAAATGAAATCAGATCTCATCACTTTGATCCTCAATCTTTACTGGATGAAATCAATCAAAATGAAAATATAAGCACACTGGAACCTGTTTCATCAGCTACATATATTCCACACAACTCAGAAAACCATCATAATGTTAATCAAGATAACATTCCTCAAACAGATGATCATATTTTCAAAGATTTCAAATTACCACTACCCAGTAAACCATTTAATCAAGATGATCAAATAACAGCAAGAAGTGACGATGGAAGTGTTGCTACAACTGCTACGACTGTTAATATTGACGAATTGGATACCAACATTGTTCCGAGAAGAGAAAACACAAATCCAAATAATACAGGTGTAACCTTTGCAAGTCATGATGAAACATTCGAATTTGATCACCCTCATTTAGATGATAGTGCAATCGTATCTGAAAATGGTGATGCACAATATGATGATGGAGATGAAAACAATAATTTTCAATTAGCTGTGGAATTAACACCTTTCAACAATAAAGTTGGTGGACATACTGCAATATTTAGATTTTCTCATAGAGCTGTTTGTAAAGAACTTGTCAACAGAGAAAATTCCTGGTATGAAACTATTGAACAAAATCATGAAGATATTTTGAAATTTATGCCACGTTATATTGGTGTTTTGAATGTGAGGTATACAACTTTAGTCGACGATAGTGAAGATTTGAATGATTTCAGATTAGATTCTTCACCTGCACTGCAACCAATAGATGAACATCAAATAATGAATCATGAAACTTCAGCTCCAAATACTACCAAACTGAGACCAACAAGTTCATATAATGAACAATTACCACCGGAAGTTGTCTTGGAAGACAATAGACATATTATCCCAGAATCCCTTTGGGATGATTATTCAACTTCTGCACCTTCAGCTGCTTCATCATTTTCATATCATTCTGATATGGCAATGCCTCATTCACCTCTGTTATCACCAAAGTTCCCATCTTCTACTCAACAATCACCTGCACCTTCATCTGGTGCTACAACTGTTAATAGGAAATTACAAGAGTTGGTATTACAAGAAGTTTTTGCGCCAATTAAATCCAAGAGAAATTTAAGGGGTTGTTTAAGCAGTAGTAGTGTTGGAAGACGTCAATCATCAAGTCTGACCTCTCCTAAGTTACTGGCTCAAAGAATGCATTCTACTGGTAATGTTCGCTCTCCACGTCTGAGTATGTCATCAACTGATTTTGATAAACCAAAACTGAGTGATGATGCTGGTTTAAAGAAAAATTATAGGTCTTTAGTAGACTTACAAAAGCTGAATAATCAAAATCAATTTGATGGAAGCATATCTGCTGGAAGTGCTATTGAAACCTCATCATGTGATAAAATAAAATTCCTGTCTAGACCACCACCAAAAGTTGAAAGATCGAATAGTGATAACATCTTTATGATGGATGATGATGCTGATGATGAACAAGAGGCACCAAATACCCTGGAAGAAGACTCATTATTGAATTCTTCAGCAATTGTTGATGATATGGAAGATACATTTTCTGATCATAATAATGCTATTTCACCAAATTTACAACCAAAGCGTAAAAAATTCCAAAGAATTGAAAGATTTATCTTGTTGGAAGATTTAACCGTTGGTATGGCAAAAGCTTGTGTTTTAGATTTGAAAATGGGTACAAGACAATATGGTGTTGAAGCTACACAGAAGAAGAAAAAATCACAAAGAAAAAAATGTAAAAATACAACTTCAAGAGAATTAGGAGTAAGAATTTGTGGGATGCAAAGTTGGGATGAAAAAGTCAATAGATTCATATCTAAAGATAAGTATTATGGTAGAAGAGTGAGATCAGGATTTGAGTTCGCAACTTGTATTTTAAGATTTCTTTATGATGGTACTTCAAATCATAGTGTTTTAATCAAAATTCCAACACTTATTGAAGAGATTAATAATTTAGAACTTGCTGTTCAAAAATTAGTTGGCTATAGATTGTATGGTTCTTCATTATTATTGATGTATGATGCTGAAGATAAGACAAAGATCAAGGTTCATATAATTGATTTTGCACAATGTATAACACTGGATAATCAAATGATTGTTGGATCAACAACTTATCCACCAAAACATCCAAATGAGCCAGATAATGGTTATTTAAGAGGTTTACAATCAGTCAGATTTTATTTATCTTTAATATTTGTTCGTTTAACAGGTTATGCGTTTACCACTAAAGAGGAAGCTTTAAATATAATTCAAAAAGATGCTGAAAGATTCCAAAATGAAAATAGTGATTGGATTGATGATTTTGATAAGCACCTGGAAGATTTACATGAATACCCAGGAGGAATATTTGGTGATTTATTAAATGAAATACCTCAATTTGCATTAGATGATACTGGAAATGTATCAGAATGAATGACATTCAAGTTTAAACTTTTTTTTATCACATATTATTATCATCTATCATCATATATAGTGTACAATAAGTACTGTAATTATTTTATTCTAATTATTATTAATGCTAATGACTTAAACTATTAATTGATATAAATGTAGAGTTTATGATTAATG